TGGACCAGGCAAGCTCCTCGACAATGCAAGCTCTTGGACCAGGCATGCTCCTGGACCAGGCAAGCTCTTGGACTTTGCAAGCTCTTGGACCACGCAAGCTCCTGGACCAGGCGAGCTCCTGGACCAGGTTAGCTCCTGGACCAGGCAAGCTCCTTGATGAGGCAATCTCCTAGACAAGGCACGCTCTTGGACCAGACAAGATCCTAGACCAGGCAAGATTCTGGACCAGGCAAGCTGTGGACCAGGAAACTCCTGGACCAGGCAAGCTCATGGACAAGGAAAGCTCCTGGACCAAGCAAGCTCCTGGACCAGGCAAGCTCTTCGACCAGGCAAGCTCCTGGACCAAGCAAGCTCGTGGACCAGGCAAGCTCCTGGACGAGGCAAGCTCCTGGACCAGGCAAGCTCTTGGACGAGGCAAGCTCCTGGACCAAGCAGGCTCCTTGACCAAGCAAGCTCGTAGACAAGGCAAGCTCCAGGACCAGGCAAGCTCATGGACCAGGCACGCTCCTGCACCAGGCAAGCTCCTTGACCAGGCAAGCTCCTGGACCAGACAAGCTCCTGGACAAGGCACGCTCCTGGACCAGGCAAGCCCCTAGACCAGGCAAGCCTTTGGACTAGGCACGCTCTTGGACCAGGCTCACTCCTGGATCAGGCACGCTCCTGGACCAGGCCAGCTTCAGGACCAGGCAAGATCCTTGACGAGGCAAGCTCTTGAACCAGGCAAGCTCCTGGACCGGGCGAGCCCCTGGACTAGGCACGCTCCTAGACCAGGCACACTCCTGGACCAGGCACGATCCTAGACCAGGCCAGCTTCACGAGCAGGCAAGCTCCTTGACGAGGCAAGCTCCTAGACGAGGCAAGCTCTTGGACAAGGGATTCTTGTAAAGCAGGCAAGCTCTTTGACCAGGCAAGCTCTTGGACCGGGAAAGCTCCTGGACCACGCAAGATCTTGGACTAGGCAAGCTTCTGGACCAGGGAAGCTCCTGGACCACGCAAGCTCCTTGACCAGGCACGCTCCTAGACCAGGCCATCTCCTCGACCAAGCAAGCTCCTGGACCAGGCAAGCTCCTTGACCAGGCAAGCTCATGGACCAGGCAAGCTCGTGGACCAGGCAAGCTTTTCGACCATACAAGCTCCTCGACCAGGCAAGCTTCTGAACCTTGCACGCTCCTGGACTAGGCAAGGTGCTGGACCAGGCAAGCTCCTAGACCAAGCAAGCTCCTGGACCAAGCAAGCTCCTGGACCTGGCAAGCTCTTGGACCATGCAAGCTCTTGGACCAAGCAAGCTCCTGGACCAGGCAAGCTCTTGGACCAGGCATGCTCTTCGACCACGTAAGCTCCTAGACCAGGCAATCTCCTGGACCATGCAAGCTCCTAGCTAGGCACGCTCCTGGACGAGACAAGATCCTGGACCAGCAAGCTCCTTGACCAGGCAAGGTCCTGGAATAGGCAAGCTCTTGGACCAGGCAAGCTCGAGGACGAGGCAAGCTCCTGGACTAGGCAAGCCCCAGGACCAGGCAAGTTGCTGAACTTGGCAAGTTCCTGGACCAGCAAGCTCCTGCAGGCAAGCTCCTGGACCTTGCAAGCTCTTGGACCACGCAAGCTCCTAAACCAGGCAAGCTCTTCTACCAGGCAAGCTCTTGGACCAGGCAAGCTCCTGGACCAGGCAAGCTCCTGGACTATGCAAGCTCCTGGACCACGCAAGCTCTTGGACCTGGCATGCTCCTTGACCAGGCACACTCCTGGACTAGGCCAGCTCCTCAACGAGGCAAGCTCCTGGACCAGGCAAGCTCCTGGACCAGGCAAGCTCCTGGACCAGGCATGCTCCTGGACCAAGCAAACTAGTGGACCAGGCAAGCTCATGGACCAGGCAAGCTCTTGGACCAGTCAAGCTCCTGGACCAGGCAAGCTTCTCAACCTCGCACGCTCCTGGACCAGTCAAGCTTGTGAACCTCGCACGCTCCTGGACGAGGCAAGCTACTGGACAAGGGAAGCTCCTAGACCAGGCATGCTCTTGGACCAGGCATGCTCCAGACCGCTTTCCATCACCCCACTTAATTCTCCCGTTTTCCATCGCCTCGCCCCATTCTCCCTCCTTACATCACCCTGTCAGATTTATATGACATAGCTATTGTAGGCTATAGTGGGGTAGCACATATGGAGTACAGCTTTCTAGGGTTTGCATTTTGTACCCAACTTTCATTTAGTCACATTCATTCTCGTTTCAGTCTTCTCATGGTATCGAGCAGGTTCCCTCGTGGGAACTGTTCCTAGGGCCCACCGATTTGATTTTTTTTTTTCCTGCCCGAAGCGCGCTCAGCCCTTGCCCGAGTCGCGCTCCCTTTCTCGACCCTGTGTCGCGCTGCCCTTGCCAGCCCTATTCCGCCGCCCTAGCGGCCCCGTCGCTTACCCAGCGGCCCTGACGCCGCCTTTCCCGACCCGGCCCCGCCCTTGTCGGCCCCGTCACCTACCTGCGGCGCCGGCCCCGTCGCCTACCTGCGGCCCCGGCCCCATCGCCTACCTGCGGCCCCGGCCCCGTCCCCTACCTGCAACCCCGGCCCCGTCGCCTACCTGCGGCCCCGGCCCCGTTGCCTACTTGCGGCCCCGTCGCCTACCTGCGGCCCTGCCCTTGCTTGCCCCGTCGCTTACCTGCGGCCCCGGCGCTCCCCTTCCCGGCCTTGGCGCCACCTTTCCCGACCCGGCCTGGCCTCTGCGGGCCCCGTCGTGTAGACCCGCGGCCCCGGCACCGCCCTTCTCGGCCCTGATCCGCCGCCCTGCGGCCCCGTCGCCTACCCCGCGGCCCCGGCGCTGCCCTTCGCGGCCCTGAGCCGCCCTTCTCGGCCCCGGCGCTGCCCTTCCCGACCCCGGCCCAGCCTCTGCTCGCCCCGTCGCCTACCCCTGCGGCCCCGAGCCGCCCTTCCCGGCCCCGGCCCCGCCGTCACGCGGCCCCGCCGTCACCACTGAGCCGCTAGCGCCACCCGAGCCGCCCGAGCCGCCGCACCACCTGAGCCGTCCGAGCCGCTGGGGCGCTGCACGCCGAGCTGCAGTTGCCGCCGAGCCGCCGTACCGCCGAGCCGCCCGAGCCGCTCGAGCCGCCGAGTCGTCGAACCGCCCGAGCTGCCCGAGCCGCCGAGTCGCCGAGCCGCCTGAGCTGCAGTTCCTGCCGAGCCGCCGAGCCGTCGAGCCGCCAAGCCGCCCCTGTCCGTTAAGAGCAGCGCCTCTACCACTGCACTCCCCTTACCCCACTGTTCGCGCTACTAGTCTACTGTTGTCATGGCTACCCCTAGTGCCCTCGCTTTGGACGCTGAGGGTCGGGCCATTGACTTTGACGTGTGGGTAGATGACCTGCAGCTTTTCCTACGCTGCGATAGGGCGGACGGTCTCTCCCTCTTTGACCTCACCTCTGGTGCCTCTCCTGCCCCTGCTGCTGATGTTGACGCCACTGCTCGCTCACAGTGGGCCACGCGCGATGCTGCTGCTCGCCTTGTTGTGCGCCGCCACTTACAGACCACTGAGCGTGCACACTTTAGCCAGTACAAGAGTGCTCAGACCTTGTACGACGGTGTAGTTGCACGCTACTCTTCCCCTGCCACTGCTGCAATGAGCCGCCTCAAGCTACCGTACCTCTTCCTTGACCTTGCTGCCTTTCCCACAGTCGCTGACCTCATTACGCACCTCCGCACTAGTGACACTCGCTACCGCGCTGCGCTTCCTGCTGAGTTCTGCGCCAAGAACCCCCCCCCCCCCCCCCCATGTACATCACCCTCTACTGCATAGTCACCCGGCTCCCTGACTCTCTTTGCGTAGTTCGGGACCACTTCCTCTCAGTTTGCCCTACCACTCTCACCGTTGACCTCTTCGAGAAGGCCCTCCTAGCAGCAGAGAAGAGCATAGTCGCTGTACGAGCCTCCCGTGGTGACCCTCGCACCCCCGTCTTTGAGGGGTGTTCCCCCTCCCCCCTTTTGCCCTCTGTTGCCTCTGCTGATGCGGCCGACCTTGTTGGGCTTGAGTCGGTCGGTGCGGCGTCTACCCCTCGCGGGAGACGCCGCCCTGGCAAGGGCAAGGGGGGCAGGGGCGCTGGAGGGGCTAGCGGGGGCGGTGGAAGCAGCGGTGGAGGCGGCGGAGGGAGTGGGGGTGGCGGTGGGAGTGGTGGCGGGGGTGGTGGTGGTGGTGGCGGCAGTGGAGGCGGAGGCAGCGGCAGCGGTGGCGGTGGGAGCGGAGGTAGCGGAGGTGGCGGCGGTGGAGGAGGCGGTGGCGGAGGAGGTGGAGCTGGTCGGGGTGGCGCTATGCAGCGGGTCGGCTCCGGTGGTGGTTCGCGCCAGCAGCAGCAGCGCACTCGGGACATCCACCCCCCTCAACAGCTCCGTGAGTGGTACGCTGCACGTCAGCGGGGTTGGGGTACTGGTCTGTGGACCTACGTCCTACGTACCGGGGACCGCGCGGGTGAGCAGTGTGGGGGTGCGCACCCCACCCAGCGCTGCTTTGGCCACGTGACGGACGCTTGGCGTCACCAGTTCCCGGAGGCCACTAAGATCCCCCGCTGGGGTGAGCTGTCTAGGGCGGGAGTAGCTATCTTTGACCTTGACTTTGATGCTATTCTTGCTGTCATGTATGCTATGACTATTAGTGATGAGGGTGACTGTTACCGGTGTTTTTCGCCTGACCCGGGTGACGAGAAGTGAGAATGGATGAATGAACTATGAAAGAGTTGGGTACAAGTACTAACCCTAATTGGGTTGTACCCCTTAAAGGCTACCCCACTATAGCCTACACAAATTTATAAGCTATAATGTTCTGACACACCCCCATAGGCAAAGTGGGGGAGAAGAAGCGGTCACAAGACCAGTCAAGCAAAGCAAAGCAAGCTCAGGGTGGATCACAAAGTCACCACACAGTCCGAGCACAAGAGTAGAGCCACAAAGCCAGTTCACATGCAAGAACATATATATAAAGGTAACACAAGCAAGAGCAGGTATAGAAAGAATACAGTACAAACAAGATCAAGAAGTGAGCAAGTGAGGCCAGGTAGGCACAAGACCTAGCACAGTACAAAAACGCTGATGATCACAAGGCCGAAGGGCCTTGGTGAAGATATCAGCAGTGTTGGTCTCAGAGGCCACGTAAGCAAGGCGCAGCTGACCGCGCTGCTGCAGCTCACGAGACAAGAAGTAGCGGAGAGCAATGTGCTTCGTTCTGTGCTCCAGTCTGTGCTCTCGACACAAGGCCAGCATGGCCTTGTTGTCTACGTACAGATTTGGAGGAGAACGAGGCTGCTCTCCTAGGTGAGTCAGAAGGTAGGTGAGCCAGCGTAGCTCCTGTGCAGCCATGGCCCCTACGTAGATCTCAGCCTGCCACCTGGAGCCAAGAACAGAGGACGAGCGAGTAGACCGCCACGAAACAGAACCGGAGCCAAGGCTGAAGGTGTAACCCTGTGACGACCGCTCCGTAGCCTGGTCGTCAGCCCAAGAAGCGTCAGCGTGACCTGTGAGGACTACTCGACGTCGCCCTCCAAGCACTAGCCCCATGCCTGACGTACTGCACAGGTAGCGCAACACCCTCTTCGCTGCAGCCAGGTGCTCTGGTCTGTGTCTCCCAGGAGCAACATAGCGTGCCAAGATGCTAAGAGGGTATGCAAGGTCAGGTCGTGTGCAGGTCATCCGGTACATGAGGCAGCCAACAAGTTCTGGGTACGGGCCACTCGACTCTACGGACTCATCCGAAGGCAGAGCTGAGAGCGAGTGGCGAGTAGACAGAGGAGTGGCCTGAGGCGAGGAGTACGTGAAGCCGAAGCGCTGAAGGACCTGCTGCACCATGTATGACTGAGTCAGGGTAATGGTGCGCTGTGCTCTGTCCCGGGTGATCTGCAAGCCAATGTAGCTGCGCAGTTCCCCCAGGTCTATGCACGTGTGTCTCTTCTGCACCTCGGACTTCACGTGAGCGAGTCTAGCAGTGTCAGCAGTGGCAAAGATCAAGTCGTCGACGCACACGAGGATGTAGAATGGCGGCAGGGAGGTGTCGGTGCGTAGAAACAGCGACGGGTTGGCTGTAGAAGGAGCAAACCCAAGAGCCGCAAGTGTAGTCCTCAGTGTGTCGTGCCACTCACGGGGTGCCTGACGTCGACCATAGACTGTCCGCCGGAGGCTCCACTGGGTACCAGGAGGAAACAACCCAGTGGAGCCAGGAGGGCGGCGCAGCCAGATCTCCTCGTGCAGGCTGCCCTGCAAGAAAGCTGTGCTGAAGTCAAGAGAGTGAAGCTCGTAGTCGCGCTGAGCGGCTATGTGCAGCAGCACCCGAAGAGTGGTCATCTTCGGGGTGGGAGAGAAGGTCTGAAAGTAGACAACTCCCTGCCGCTGACTGAAGCCTCGAGCCACGTAACGCGCCTTGAAGACAGGCGGAGAGCCCGGCGGCCGCTTCACCCTGAAGATCCACATGCCACTGACGATGTTCGCCCCAAGTGGGGGAACCGCGTCAACGTAGGTGCCTGTGGACTTCCAGGAAGCCATCTCTATGTCCATGGCCGACTGCCACTGAGAGGAGTAGGGACCCTAGATCGCTTCAGCGTACGATCGAGGAGTCGGGATGTCTGGTGCATCCGGGTCTCCCTCAGGGGCAATCAGCGAGGACGCAAGATGGGGCAAAGCAGCCGCAAAGCACTGGAACTCCTCCTGCTTGTCCTCAAGGACGTCCGTGCTAAGAGCACACTCACCCTCGACGGACGGAGGACAGACGGACTCAGACGCAGCAATAAGATTGGCAGCGTAGTCTAGACGGCAGCGAGCAGCGAAGTCGACAAGCTCAGCAACTAGAGCAGACGCAGCAGTAAACTCAAAGGTAGGGTCACTGACAACAGTAGCAAGAAGGCGCGTGACCGAAGGACTAGCAGCACAAAGGGAGTCGGACTCCCGGTCAGCAAGCGAAGGAAGAGAGGACTCTAGAGGAGAAGGCAAAGGGACACGCAGAGGAGTAGTGGACGGACGCAGTGCCATCTGGTGTGTGCCGGGGACTGCAGGAGGACGCGGACGCGCAGTACGACCACTAGTGCGAGTAGCACGAACAGGCGATGCAAGACGAGACGCAGGCTCACGACGCTCAGCAAGACCTCCAGTAGGACCAGTGTAGGGAGAAGGAGCAGGTAGCGGGGAGGCGGGCTGTAACTGGGACTGCGACTGGACAGGCTGCGGACACTCTAAGGGAGGAGCAGGACCAGTAGAGGGAGGGAGACCAAGAACCTGCTCCAGGAGGGGAACGAGGTACGGCCTCGGCCGCGCAGCGCCCCTAGAACCAGCAAGGACGGCACCAGGACCCCCAGGGGCAGCACCAGCGCCAGCAGAATCTCCAGCTCCAACAGCGCCAACTCCAGGACCCTCAGAAGCACCTGCGCCAGCAGCACCGCCAGCGCCAACACCCCCAGCAGCTCCAACTCCAGTAGAAACGTTAGCACAAGCTGCCTCAGCAGCACCTCCAGACGCACCAGCACCAGTAGAAACACCGGCGCCAACAACCCCAGCAGCTCCACCTCCAGCAGCACCAGGACCAACAGCAGCTCCAGTAGGACCAAGTCCAGTAGCTCCAGCAGCACCCCCAGACTCAGCAGCACGTCTCCAGCGGCGGGCGAACCACTCGCGCAGCTCCTGTGGAGAGAGCGGCTCCCGCCTCGACGAAGCACCACCGGCGGCCACACGAGCAGACCCAGCACCCCCAGGCTCAGCACCCCCAGGCTCAGCACCCCCAGTCTCAGCACCCCCAGACTCCGCAACCCCAAGCTCAGCACCCCCAGTCTCAGCACCCCCAGTCTCAGCACCCCCAGACCCAGCACCCGCAGACCCGGCACCCGCAGGCTCAGCACCTCTAGCAGCACCAGAGTCGACAGCAACCTCGACAGGCTCGACTGCGTCTACCTGGCACACACCTTAAGGGGCAGGACCCTAAGGAGGGAGGGGGTCTACCTGAGTAACACCTGGCGCAAGGAAGAGCGGCGGCGGGGGGAGGGGCGCAGTGCGGTAGGTTGAGCTGATGCGCGGCGTACTGAACCGCAAACGGCCACTGAAAACGGGGGGCAGCTGCATGCATCATGGACGTACGAGCGACGTCCATGACCATGCCAATGCGGCGCTCAGCAATCCCATTTTGCTGTGGAGAGGCCGGAAGCGTGAAGGTCTGGCGGATGCCCTGTGCACGACAGAAGGCTCCAAGACGGGCAGAGGAAAACTCACCGCCTCTGTCCGAGTTCAGACGCAGAACAGGAAAGTCGGAGCCGAAACTCTCTCTTAGTTGGAGACGAGCTGCCCGGATCCAGTAGATCAACACCTCAGTGACGTCACCCTTGCTGCGCAGGGGGAAGACTGTGGTGTAACGCGAGTAGTCGTCAACCACCAGCAGAAAGTACCGCTCTCGTCCCTGCCCACTAACGCGGGCTGGGCCCCACACGTCCATGTGGAGAGTCTGCAGCGGAGCCTCTGTCGGAGGATACTCGGAGGAGTGAGGGGCGGCGCGCTGTCGCCCCTCGACGCAGGGGACGCAGGTAGGGCCAGGCCCCAGAGGAAGGGGAGGGAGAGACCGAGGAAGACCAAAGACAAGGACACGGGAGGCCATGCCTCGGAGACGAGGCAAGGAAGGGTGACCAAGGCGGTGGTCCCAAAGGAGAGTCTGGTGGGACAGCAGACGACACGAGCAGGGGGCAGACTCAGGACCAGACCTGGACGCCGCAGCAAACACCTGACTCGACGCAGCTACTTGGGCAGGCTCAGCAGTAGGAGGAGACTCAGTAGTAAGGGTGTACAGGCTCGACCCTGGCCGACGGCTGAACGTGGCCAGGTGTCGACCTGTCCGAGCACACGTGCAGTGGGTCACTCGCTGACTCGCAGGAGTGAACTGGTCAACCCCTCGATCCTGTAGGTCCGCTCCACTCACCAAGTTCGTAGAGAACGAGGGGAGGTAAAGACCAGACAGGGTTCCAGAGGGGGCTGCACGGCACGGAAGGACAGTGGAGAAGCTGGCAAGGACAGGACCCCCAGAGGGGTCTGCCATGGAGACTGCAACCGGCCGACTAAGTGGCGTAAGAGTGGTGCAGTCTCGAAAGAAGGAGCGGGACGCACCCGAGTCCAGGGTGAAGGTGTGGAGGGCCTGAGCGGAAGCAGAACCTGAGAGAGCAGACTCACCAGCACCTGGGGCTGCAGACGCACTAGCACCATGAGCAGCAGTCTCACCAGCACCTAGTGCAGCAGCCTCAATGCCCGGGTCATGAGTACACACAGGTATCAGGCACCCTCAACACTATCAGCAACAGCATACATGGCAGCAAGAATAGCATCAAAGTCAAAATCAAAGATAGCAACCCCAGCGAGGGATCTCTGACGCGTCAGGGAACTGGCGACGCCATGCGTCCGTCAGGCAACCAAAGCTGCGCTGGGCGGAGTGCGGACCTCCGCACTGCTCACAAGTGCGGTCGCTGGTACGGAGAACGTAGGAGTAGGGACCAAAACCCCCACCTCGCTGGTGTGCAGTGTACCACTCACGAAGCTGCTGAGGGGACATGGTCACACCGCTCCGCTGCTGCTGCTGGCGCGGACCACCACCAGAGCCACCCCTCGGTGTAGAGTCGCAACTCGCACCACCACCGCCGCCGCCGCCGCCACCGCCGCCACCGCCGCCTCCGCCGCCTCTCCCGCCTCCTCCACCTCCGCCTCCTCCACTACCTCCGCCGCCTCCGCTCCCTCCGCCACCTCCACCGCCTCCGCCGCCTCCACTGCTGCCGCCGCCACCACCACCCCCGGCACCACTCCCACGACCACCCCCACTCCCTCCAACGCCTCCACCACCACCTCCACCGCCCCCTCCACCCCCTCCAGAGCCCTTGCCCCCCTTGCCCTTGCCGGTGCGGCGTCTCCCGCTCGGGGCAGACGCAGCGCCGACCGACTCGAAACCAACGAGGTCGGCCGCAGCAGCAGAGGCGACAGAGGGCAAGAGGGGTGAGGGAGAACACCCCTCAAAGACGGGGGTGCGAGGGTCACCACGAGAGGCTCCTACAGCGACTATGCTCTTCTCTATTGCTAGGAGGGCCTTCTCGAAGAGGTCAACGGTGAGAGTGGTGGGGCAAGTAGAGAGGAAGTGGTCCCTGACTACGCGAAGAGAGTCAGGGAGCCGGGTGACTATGTAGTATAGGGTGATGTACATGGGGGGGGGGGGGGGTCTTGGCGCAGAAATCTGCAGGAAGCGCAGCACGGTAGCGAGTGTCAAGAGTGCGGAGGTGCGTAATGAGGTCAGCGACAGTGCGAAAGGCAGCAAGGTCTGGGAAGAGGAAGGGAAGCATGAGGCGGCTCAGTGCAGCAGTGGCAGGGGAAGAGTAGCGTGCAACTACAGCGTCGTACAAGGTCTGAGCACTCTTGTACTGGCTAAAGTGCGCACGCTCAGTGGTCGGTAAGTGGCGGCGAACAGCAAGGCGAGCAGCAGCATCACGTGTGGCCCAGTGAGAGCGAACAGTGGCGTCAGTATCAGCAGCAGGGGCAGGGGAGGCACCAGAAGTGAGGTCAAACAGGGAGAGGCCGTCTGCCCTATCGCACTGCAGAAAAAGCTGTAGATCATCTACCCAGACCTCAAAGTCCACTGCCCGACCCTCAGCGTCAAAAGTAAGGATGCTAGGGGAAGCCATAATAGCAATAGGCAGGCAGTGAGCGCAGTGAGGTAGAGAGTGAGCTATTACCAGGTAGGTGGGGCGATCGGGCTGCTCGGCGGCTCGGCTGCAGGGCGGCTCGGCTGTACGGGCGGCTCGGATGTATGGGCGACTCGGCTGGTGGGCGGCTCGGCTGCTGGGCAGCTCGGCTGCTGGGCGGCGTGGCTGTCGGGCGGCTCGGTTGTCGGGCGGCTCGGCTGCTGGGCGGCTCGGCTGCCTGGCGGCTCGGTTGCTGGGCGACTCGGGCGGTTGGGACGGGGCCGTAGCAGGGGCCTGAGTGGGGCCGCAGTGGGGCCGAAGTGGGGCTGACGGGGCCTTAGTGGGGCCGCAGTGGGGCCGAAGTGGGGCCGACGGGGCCTTAGCGGGGCCGTAGTGGGGCCGACGGGGCCGTAGCAGGGCTGTAGCGGGGCCGCAACGGGGCCTAAGAGGGGCAGACGGGGCCGAAGTGGGGCCGTAGCGGGGCCAACAGGGCCGACGGGGCCGTAGTGGGGCCGAAGTGGGGCCGATGGGGCCGTAGCTGAGGCTGTAGCGGGGCCGATATGGCCTTAGCGAGGCTGTAGCGGGGCCGTAACGGGGCCGAAGTGGGGGCCGACGGGGCCTAAGTGGGGCCGCAACGGGGCCGACGGGGCCGTAGCGAGGCCGCAACGGGGCCGAAGTGGGGGCCGACGGGGCCTAAGCGGGGCCGCAGCGGGGCCGACGAGGCCTAAGCGGGGCCGAAGGTGGGCTAAGCGGGGCCGACGGGGCCGTAGCGGGGCTGTAGCGGGGCCGCAACGGGGCCGAAGTGGGGCCGACGGGGCCTAAGCGGGGCCGCAACGGGGCCGACGGGGCCTAAGCGGGGCCAATCAGGGCCGTAGCGGGGCCTAAGCGGGGCTATAGCAGGGCCAACGGGGCCTAAGCGGGGCCGACGGGGCCTAAGCGGGGCCGACAGTGGGCTAAGCGGGGCCGACGGGGCCGTAGCGGGGCTGTAGCGGGGCCGCAACGGGGCCAAAGTGGGGCCGACGGGGCCTAACCAGGGGCCGCAACGGGGCCGACGGGGCCTAAGCGGGGCCAATCAAGGCCGTAGCGGGGCCTAAGCGGGGCTATAGCGGGGCCGACGGGGCCTAAGCGGGGCCGACGGTGGGCTAAGCGGGGCCGACGGGGCCGAAGTGAGGGGCCGACGGGGCCTAAGCGGGGCTGCAACGAGGCCCGTAGCGAGGCCTAAGTGGGGTCGACAGGGCCTAAGCAGGGCCAATGGGGCCGTAGCGGGGCCAACGGTGGGCGGCTCGAGGGGCAGTAAGGGCGGCCAAAAGGCGTCTCGGGGCGCTACTCAGGTTAGGAGGTAAGGGCGCTCCGGGCAGAGGAGAAAAAAAAAAAAAAAAACGTGGTGGGCCCTAGGCAGTATTCCCACTCGGGAACATGCTCGATACCATGACGAGAAGTGAGAATGGATGAATGAACTATGAAAAAGTTGGGTACAAGTACTCACCCTAATTGGGTTGTACCCCATATAGGCTACCCCACTATAGCCTATACAAATGTATAAGCTATAATGTTCTGACACCAGGCATTGAGACTGCTGCTCTAGGTACTCGTAAGACTGCTGCTCTAGGTGCTAGGGAGCCTGCTGCTCTAGATGCCAGTGCGTCTGCTTCCTCAGGTGCTGGTGAGTTTGCGCTCTCAGGTACCGCGTCGGCTTCGGCCTCCCTCACCTTCACTCTTGACTCAGGGGCTTCTCGCTCCTTCTTTCGAAACCGCACCACACTCACACCGCATGGTCGGCCAGTTGCAGTCTCTCTTGCAGACCCCTCTAGGGGTCCTGTCCTTTCTCACTTCTCCACTGTCCTCCCGTGTTCGGCGGCCCCCTCTGGCACCTTGTCTGGTCTTTACCTCCCCTCGTTCTCTACGAACTTGGTGAGTGGTGCTGACCTACAGGATGCGGGGTTCACCAGTTCACTCCTGCGAGTCAGCGGGTGACCCACTGCACGGACGCTCGCACAGGCCGACACCTGGCCACGTTTACACGTCGGGCGGGGTCGAGCATGTACACACTGACCACTGAGTCTCCTCCTGTCACTGCGTCTGGTCAGGTAGCTGCGTCGGGTCAGGTGTTTGCTGCAGCGTCCAGGTCTGGTCCTGAGTCTGCCCCCTGCTCGTGTCGCCTCCTATCTTACGAGACTCTCCTCTGGCACCACCGCCTTGGTCACCCCTCCTTGCCTCATCTCCGAGGCATGGCCTCCCGTGTCCTTGTCTCTGGTCTTCCCCGGTCCCTCCCTCCCCTCCCTCCAAGGCCTGGCCCTACCTGCGTCCCCTGTGTCGAGGGGTGGCAGCGGGCTGCCCCTCACTCCTCCGAGTTTCCTCCAACAGAGGCCCTGCTGCAGACGCTTCACATGGACGTGTGGGGCCCGGCCCGCGTCCGTGGACAGGGTCACGAGCGCTACTTCCTGCTGGTAGTTGACGACTACTCGCGTTACACCACAGTCTTCCCCTTGCGCAGCAAGAGTGATGTCACTGAGGTGTTGATCGACTGGATCCGCGCAGCTCGTCTCCAGCTCAGGCATAGCTTCGGCTCGGACTTTCCTGTTTTGCGTCTGCACTCTGACCGAGGCGGAGAGTTCTCCTCTGGCCTTCTGCGAGCCTACTGTCGAGCACGAGGCATCCGCCAGACCTTTACGCTTCCGGACTCTCCACAGCAAAATGGGATTGCTGAGCGTCGCATTGGCATGGTCATGGACGTCGCCCGTACGTCCATGATGCATGCGGCTGCCCCTCATTTTCTGTGGCCGTTTGCGGTTCGGTACGCGGTGCATCAGATCAACCTTCACCCCAGGGTCTCCATGCCGGAGACCTCTCCAGCTTTGCTGTGGACGGGGAAGGTTGGCGATGCGTCTGCGTTTCGGGTCTGGGGATCTCGGGCGTTTGTCCGTGACTTGTCTGCGGACAAGCTGTCCCCTCGTGCTGCTCCTTACGTCTTCCTTGGCTCCCCCCCTGACGCGCCAGGGTGGCAGTTCTACCACCCCACCTCTCGCCGTGTTCTGTCCTCCCAGGACGTCACGTTTGACGAGTCAGTCCCCTACTACCGCCTCTTCCCCTACCGCACCCCGTCCCTCCCCCCGCCACCGCTCTTCCTTGTGCCAGGTCCCCCCCTGGTAGACCCCCTTCCCCCTCAGGGTCCTGCCCCTTCAGGTGTGTCCCAGGTAGACGCAGTCGAGCTTGTCGAGGTTACTGGTGACTCTAGTGCTGCTGCGGGTGCTGAGCCTGGGGGTGCTGCCTCTTGGGGTGCTGAGCGTGTGGGTGCTACGCCTGGGGGTGCTGAGCCTACGGGTGCTACTACTGGGGGTGCTGGGCCTGGGGGTGCTGAGCCTGGGGGTGCTACGCCTGGGGGTGCTGAGCCTGGGGGTGCCACGTCTGGAGGTGCTGAGCCTGGGGGTGAGGAGCCTGCAGGAGCTGGGCCTACTTGTGTGGCGTCTGGCGGTGCTGGGCCTGGAGTTTCTCCGGGTGCTTCGTCTCGGCGGGAGCCACTCTTTCCACAGGAGCTGCGCGAGTGGTTTGCCCGGCGCTGGAGGCGTGCTGCTGGAGCTGGAGTTTCTTCGGCAGCTGAGGGTGCTGGTGCCGCGGGTCCCGGAGGTGCTCGTACTGGGAGTACTGGAGCTGCTGGGCCTGCGGGTACGACTGGAGCTGGAGCTGCTGAGGGTGTTGGCACTGAGGCTACTGCTGTCGGTCTTGGAGGCGGTCCTACTGGGGGTGCTACTGGTGCTGCTGGGGGTACTGGAGCTGGAGGTGCTGTTGGCGCTGGTGCTGCCGCTGGGGGTGCTGGTGCTGTCCCTGCTGTGTACGGAGTCGCCGCGCGGCCTCGGCCGTACTTCGTTCCGCTCCTTCAGCAGGTTCTTGGTCTCCCGCCTTCCCCTGGTCCTCCTCCTCCCTTAGAGTGTCCACAGCCTGTCCCGTCCCGGTTACAGTTACAGCCGGCCTCCCCACTGCCTGCTCCTTCTCCCTACACTGGTCCTACTGGAGGTATTGCTGAGCGTCGTGAGCCTGCGTCTCGCCCTGCGTCGCCTGTCTGTGCTGCTCGCACTAGTGGTCGCGGTTCGCGTCAGCGTCCTCCTCCTGTCCCTGGCACGCATTAATTGTCTCTGCGTGCGTGCACTGCTCCTCTACGTGCCCCTTTGCCTTCTCCTCCTGAGTCCTGTCTTCCTGCTCTTGCCGACCCGGAGTCGGACTCTCTTCGTGCTGCCAGTCCTACTGTCATGCGTCTCCTTGCTATTGTCGTCACTGACCCTTCCTTTGAGCCCACTGCTGCGTCTGCCCTAGTTGCTGAGCTTGTCAAACATTATATATGTAGTTGTGTTTGTTTAGGCTACAGTGGGTTAGCCTATAGGGGGTACACAATTCTAGGGTTAGGTACTTGTACTGTTTTCACTGCTAGTTCATTTCATTCCTGTTCAGTTATTCCAACATGGTATAGAGCAGGTCCTTCCTAGGACTGATTTTTTTAAGGGCCCACCACTACCTACCTACCTACCTACCTACCTACTTGCGCCCTAGGGCGCCTCGGTTTTGTCACGCCCCTAAAGGCCCCGAACGGCCCACCGCGATCGCCCTGCCCTAACTGAGCCGCCCTAACTGCTTCTCCTACTGCTACTGCTGCTACTTCTACTGTTCCTATGGCTAGCCCACAGGTTCTAGTTTTCGATGCTGAGGGCCGCCCAGTGAAGTTTGACACCTGGCTAGATGACCTGCACCTCTACCTACAGCTCACAGCCAAGGATGACATCTCACTGTACGACCACGCCCTAGGCCATGTCACTGCCCCTGCTGCTACTGCTGACAGCACTGCTCGCTCACAGTGGCAGACTCGTGATGCCCACGCTCGCTTCGCTATTCGCAACTCCCTGCCGATAGACGAACGCGAGCACTTTGGCCAGCACAAGACTGCACAGCCACTGTACACAGCTGTAGTTGCTCGCTACTCCTCACCTGCCTCTGCCGCACTAGGCCGTCTCTCCCTCCCCTACATGTTTCCCGACCTGGCCTCGTTCCACACAGTCGCTGACCTCATCACGCACCTCCGTACTAGTGAGGCCCGCTTCCGTGCCGCCATGCCCGCTGAGTTCCTTGCCACGCACCCCCCTCCACTCTGGCTCACTCTCTACCACCTAGTCACCCGCCTCCCTGACACACTTCGTGCTGTCAGGGACCACTTCCTAGCTCGCTGCCCCACTGAGCTCACCATTGCCCTCCTCGAGAAGGAACTGCTTGCAGCTGAGACTAGCATAGTCGCTGTAGGTGCCTCTCGTGGCGACCCCCGTACCCCGTTCTTTGAGGGGTGTTCTCCTTCCCCCCTTCTTCCCTCTGTCGCCTCTGCTGCTGCTGTCGACCTTCTTGGTACTGAGAAGGTCGGCACTGCGTCTGCTTCGAGCGAGCGCCGCAGCGGCAAGGGCAAAGGGGGCAAGGGTGGTGGTGGTGACGGCGGGGGAGGCGGCGGTGGGGGCGGTGGAGGCGGCGGGGGTGGTGGCACGACTGGAGGGACTAGTGGCAGCGGTGGGGGTGGTGGCGGCAGCGGCGGGGGAGGTGGCAGGGGCGGAGGCGGTGGTTGGGGTGGCGGTGGACGAGGCGGCGGCAGGGGTTGGGGTGGTCGAGGAGGTGGCGGCAGTGGTGGTTGTCGTGGAGGCGCTGGCGGTGGCAAGCGCCAGCAGCACACTCCTTCGCCCCAGGAGGTCCGTGAGTGGTACTCTCTGCACGGGGGTGGGGGTGGCCTTAGCTGCACGTACGTCATTCGCACTGGTGACTGCACTGGTCAGCAGTGTGGACGACCGCACGCCACACAGCGCTGCTTCGCTCGTCTTGACGACGCTTGGCTTTTTCAGTTCCCTCAGGCCACGGAGCTGCCCTGCTGGATTGATCTCCTGAAGAAGGGGATTGATATCTATGCTCTAGACTTTGATGCTATTCTATCTGCTATGTATGTGATGTCTACTAGTGGAGAGGGAGCTGAGTACTTGTGTGTGCCGCCCGACCCTGGCATTAGGGCTAGTGCGTCTGCCGCTCCAGGTACTCGCTTGTCGGCTACCCCAGGTGCTGGTGAGGCAGCTGCTCTAGGTGCTTGTGTGTTTGCCCCCTTTGGTACTGAGTCGACTGCAGCACTGCACACCTTCACACTGGACTCAGGTGCTTCTCGGTGCTTCTTTCGTGACCGCACTGCCCTTGAGCCGCTTGCTCGGCCAGTTGCTGTCTCCCTTGCTGACCCCTCTGGGGGTCCGGTCATTGCGACCTCTTCCACTGTCCTTCCCTGTCCTGCGGTCCCGTCGGGCACACTGTTAGGTCTTCACCTCCCCTCGTTCTCTACGAACTTGGTGGCAAGATGTGCGCTCCAGGACGGGGGTGTTCACCAGTTCACCCCTGCCTACGAGCGCGTGACACACTATACGTGTGCTCGTACGGGCCGTCACTTGGCTACCTTCACTCGGCAGCCGGGGTCGGACCTGTACACACTGACTACTGAGTCCCCTCAGGTTGCTGCGTCTGTGTCTGCGTCCGCGTCAGGTCAGCTGTCGGCCCCCTTCTCGTGTCGCTCTCTTGCACACGAGACTTTCCTCAGGCACCACCGCCTTGGCCACCCGTCTGTGCAGCGGCTTCGTGCCATGCACTCCCGGTACCTTGTCTCTGGCCTGCCCAGGGTCCTTCCTCCCCTCCCACCCTCACCTACTCCTACCTGTCTCCCCTGTGTCGAGGGACAGCAGCGAGCCGCTCCTCACTCCTCCTCGTTTCCCCCGACGACTGCTCCCTTGCAGACGCTCCACATGGACGTGTGGGGCCCAGCCCGCGTCCGTGGTCAGGGTCAGGAGAGGTACTTCCTGATAGTTGTTGACGACTACTCGCGCTACACCTCGGTCTTCCCCTTGCGCACCAAGGGTGAGGTCCCTGATGTCTTGATCCCTTGGATCCGCAGAGTCCGTCTCCAGCTCAGCGAGCGTTTTCACGCGGACTTTCCTGTCCTGCGCTTGCACTCTGACAGAGGTGGTGAGTTCTCCTCCGACCTCTTGGCAGCCCACTGTGCTGAGCACGGCATTGAGTAGTTGTTCACACTTCCGTCCTCTCCACAGCAGAATGGGGTTGCGGAGCGCCGCATTGGCCTGGTCATGGAGGTCGCCCGTACCTCCTTGATCCATGCGACTGCCCCCCACTTTCTGTGGCCGTTTGCGGTCCGGTACGCTGCGCATCAGCTCAACCTCTGGCCCCGTGTCTCCTTGACGGAGACCTCGCCCACGCTGCTGTGGACGGGTGAGGTTGGCGATGCGTCGCGTTTCCGGGTTTGGGGATCTCGAGCTTTTGTCCGCGATACGTCTGCGGACAAGCTCTCCTCCCGTGCTATTCCCTGCGTCTTCCTCGGCTTTGTCCCAGACGCGCCTGGTTGGCACTTTTACCACGCCACATCGCGCCGAGTCTTGCCCTCTCAGGACGTCACTTTTGACGAGTCCGTCCCCTACTACCGCCTCTTCCCCTACCGCACTGCCCCGCTCCCCCCCCCCCCCCCGCCTCTCTTCCTCGCGCCAGGTGCTGCTGTTGTAGACCCCCTCCCCCCTCAGGGTGCCGCTCCCTCAGGTGTGTCTCAGGTAGACCCGGTTGAGCCTGTTGAGGTCGCTGTCAACTCTCGTCCTGCTGGGGGTGCTGAGCCTGGGGGTGCTGAGCCTGGGGGGGTGGAGCCTGGGGGTGCTGAGCCTGGGGGTGTGGAGCCTGGGGGTGCTGAGCCTGGGGGTGTGGAGCCTGGGGGTGCTGAGCTTGAGGGTACTGGGCCTGGGAGTGTGGAGCCTGGGGGTGCTGAGCCTGGGGGTGCTGAGCTTCGGGGTGCTGAGCCGCAGAGTCAGGAGTCTGGGGGTTCTGAGTCTGGAGGTACTGAGCCTGGGAGTCCTACACCTGGAGGAGCCCTCTCCTTGGAGCAGCTGCGTGAGTGGTACTTATAGTACTGCAGCCTCAGGAGAGGCACCTCTGGAGCCGGGCGTGCTACTGAGACTGGTGCTAGTACTTCTCCTAGTCGGGAGCTACCCTCCCGTGAGCGGATCCGTGAGTGGTACGAGCGGCGCTGCACTCTTCGGAGTGGCGCGCCTCGTGTCACGGACCCCGCTGCCGTTAGAGCTGCTGCTGGTGCTGCGGACCCGGGCGTTGGAGCTGCTACTGGTGCTGCGGACCCGAGTGTTGGAGCTGCTGCTGGTGCTGCGGACCAGGGCGTTGGAGCTGCTGCTGGTGCTTCAGACCCGGGCGTTGGAGCTGCTGCTGGTGCTGCGGACCCGGGTGTTGGAGCTGCTGCTGGTGCTGCGGACCCGGGTGTTGGAGTTGCTGCTCGTGCTGAGGACCTTGGTGCGGGTGTCTCTGCTGGTTCTGGTGCCGCTGCACGGCCGTGGTCGTACTTTGTTCCGCTCCTTCAGGAGGTTCTTGGTCCTATCACTCCTCTGTGTCCTCCTTCCTCCTTAGGGTGTCCTCCGTCTCCCCAGCTGCTGTCGGAGCTGCCGTCTGCCTCCTCTCTCCCTGGTCCTGCTCCTTACACTGGTCCAACTGGAGGTCTTACTGAGCGTCGTGAGCCTGAGTCTCGTCCTGCGTCGCCTGAGCCTCGTCGTGCGTCGCCTGTCCGTACTGCTCTCTCTAGTAGTCGTGTCCCGCGTCAGCGTCTTCCTGCTGTCCCATGCACTCACTGGATGGCGCTTCGTCCGTCCACTGCTCCACAGCATGTCCCACTGCCGTCTCCTCCTGCTTCCTCTCTTCCTGCTCTTGCTGACCCAGGGTCAGACTCCCTTCGTACTGCGAGTACTACTGTCACGCGTCTCCTGGCTACTGTTGTCACTGACCCTTCCTTTGAGTCCGCTGCTACGTCTGCCTTAGTTGCTGAGCTTGTCGACTTTGCTGCCACCTGTCGTCTAGACTACGCCGCTAGCCTAGTTGCTAAGTCTGAGTCTGTCTGTCCTTCGTCCGTCGGGGGTGAGCGTGCTCTTGGCACTGGCGTCCTTCAGGACAGGCAGGAGGAGTTTGAGTGCTTTGCTGCCGCTTTGCCCCATCTCGTGTCCATGCTTGTTGCCCTTGAGGGAGACCCGGATGCACCAGACATCCCGACCCCACGCTCTTACGCGGAGGCGATGGCTGGTCCCTACTCCTCTCAGTGGCAGTTGGCCATGGACACAGAGATGGCTTCCTGGAAGTCCACAGGCACCTACGTCGACGAGGTTCCCCCACCTGGGGCGAACATCGTCAGTGGCATGTGGATTTTCAGGGTGAAGCGGCCGCCGGGCTCTCCGCCTGTCTTCAAGGCGCGTTACGTTGCACGAGGCTTCAGTCAGCGAGAGGGAGTTGACTTCTTCCAGACCTTCTCCCCGACCCCGAAGATGACCACTCTTCGGGTTCTGCTGCACGTCGCCGCTCACCGGGACTACGAGCTCCACTCGCTTGACTTCAGCACTGCTTTCCTGCAGGGCAGCCTGAACGAGGAGATCTTGCTGCGCCGTCCACCTGGCTTCACTGGGTCGTTCCCTCCTGGTACCCAGTGGAGCCTCCGACGGCCAGTCTACGGTCTCCGCCAGGCGCCACGTAAGTGGCACGACACACTGAGGACTACACTTGCGGCTCTTGGGTTCGCGCCTTCTATTGCTGACTCGTCGCTGTTTCTACGCACCGACACCTCACTGCCGCCCTTCTACGTCCTTGTGTACGTCGACGACTTGGTCTTTGCCACTGCTGACACTACGGCACTCGCCCACGTGAAGTCGGAGCTGCAAAAGAGACACACGTGCACAGAACTGGGTGAACTGACAAGCTATCTTGGCTTGCGGATCACTCGGGACAGAGCACGCCGCACCATCACCTTGACTCAGTCACACATGGTGCACCAGGTCCTTCAGCACTTCCGCTTCACGTACTCCTCGCCTCAGCCCACTCCTCTGCCTACCAGTCACTCGCTCTCAGCTCTGCCTTCGAATGAGTCCGTAGAGTCGAGTGGCCCGTATCCAGAGCTTGTGGGTTGCCTCATGTACCTGATGACCTGCACTCGACCTGACCTTGCATACCTTCTGAGCATTCTTGCACGCTATGTCGCTCCCGGCCGTCACAGAAAGGAACACATGGATGCAGCTAAGAGGGTGTTGCGCTACTTGTGCAGTACGTTGGGCATGGGGCTAGTGCTTGGAGGGCGAGTCCCAGTTGTTCTCACTGGGCACTCAGACGCTTCTTGGGCAGACGACCAGGCTACTCAGCGGTCGTCTCAGGGTTACTCCTTCAGTCTTGGCTTTGGTTCAGTTTCTTTGCGTTCTACTCGCTCTTCTTCTGTTCTCAGCTCCAGTTGTGAGGCTGAGATTTACACCACAGCCATGGCGGCCCAGGAGCTACGCTGGCTCACCTACTTGCTGACCGACCTTGGAGAGCAGCCTCGTTCTCCTCCATTGCTGTACGTCGACAACAAGGCAGCCATTGCCTTTTGTCAGGAGCACAGACTGGAGCACAGAACGAAGCACATTGCTCTGCGTTACTTCCTTGCTCGAGAGCTGCTGCAGCGTGGTCAGCTTCGTCTGCGTTACGTGGCCTCTGAGGCCAACACTGCTGATGTGTTCACCAAGGCGCTTCAGCCTTGTGACCATCAGCGCTTTTGCACTCTTCTAGGCCTTGTGCCTACTGTACCTCACTTGCTTACTTCTTGAGTGTGTTTGTACTGTGATCACTATATATATATACCTGCATGTTTACTCTTGCTAGGTTGTGATCATTGTACCGCTTGCTCTATTATAAACCTGCATGTGAACTGGTCTTGTAACCATTTGCTTGTGCTCGGAATTCGTGTGGTATCCTTGAGATCCACCCTGAGCTTGTTTTGCCTTGCTTTGCCTTGACTGGTCTTGTGACCCCTAGTTCTCCCCCACTTCGCCTATGGGGGTGTGTCAAACATTACATATGTTGTTGTGTTTGTTTAGGCTACAGTGGGTTAGCCTATAGGGGGTACACAATTCTAGGGTTAGGTACTTGTACTGTTTTCACTACTAGTTGATTTCATTCCTGTTCAGTTATTCCAACAAAGCTCGTCGACTTTGCTGCTCGCTGTCGTCTAGACTACGCTGCTAGTCTTGTTGCTGAGTCTGCGTCTGACTCTCCTCCGTCGTCGGGGGTGAGAGTGCCCTTGGCACGGACGTCCTTGAGGACAGGCAGGAGGAGTTCCAGTGTGTGGCTGCTGCTTCACCTCATTTCGTGTCCGTACTACTTACCCCTGAGGGAGACCCGGATGCACTAGACATCTCGACTCCGCGCTCTTACGCGGAGGCGATAGAGGGTCCCTACTCCTCTCAGTGGCAGGCAGCTATGGACGCAGAGATGGCTTCCTGGAAGTCCACAGGCACCTATGTTGACGAGGTTCCCCCAGCTGGGGCGAACATCGTTAGTGGCATGTGGACTTTCAGGGTGAAGCGGCCGCCGGGTTCTCTGCCTGTCTTCAAGGCGCGGTACGTTGCTCGTGGCTTCAGTCATCGGCAGGGAGTTGACTACTTTCAGACCTTCTCTCCCACCCTGAAGATGACCACTCTTCGGGTGCTGCTGCACATAGCCGCTCAGGGCGACAATGAGCTTCATTCTCTTGACTTCAGCACAGCTTTCCTGCGGGGCAGCATGCACGAGGAGATCTGGTTGCGCCGCCCACTTGGCTTCACTGGGTCGTTTCCCCCTGGTACCCAGTGGAGCCTCCGGCGGCTAGTCTACGCTCTCCGCCAGGCGCCCCGTGAGTGGCACGACACACTGAGGACTACACTTGCGGCTCTTGGGTTTGCTCCTTCTACAGCCGACGCGTCGTTGTTTCTGCGCACTGACACCTCTCTGCCGCTGTTCTACATCCTCGTGTACGTCGACGACTTGGTCTTTGCCACAGCTGACACTGCTCGACTTGCCCACGTGAAGTCCGAGCTGCAGAAGAGACACACGTGCACAGACCTGGGTGAGCTGCGCAGCTACCTTGGCTTGTAGATCACCCGGGACAGAGCACACCGCACCATTACCTTGACTCAGTCACACATGGTGCAGCAGGTCCTTCAGCGCTTCGGCTCCACGTACTCCTCGCCTCAAGCCACTCCTCTGCCTACTCGCCACTCGCTCTCAGCTCTGCCTTCGGATGAGTCCGTAGAGTCGAGTGGCCCGTACCCAGAGCTTGTTGGCTGCCTCATGTACCTGATGACCTGCACTCGACCTGACCTTGCATACCCTCTTAGCATTCTCGCACGCTATGTTGCTCCTGGGAGACACAAACTGGAGCACATGGCTGCAGCGAAGAGGGTGTTGCGCTACTTGTGCACTACGTTGGGCATGGGGCTTGTGCTTGGAGGGCAGAGTCTAGTGGTCCTCAGTGGGCACGTAGACGCTTCTTGGGCTGACGACCAGGCTACGCAGCGGTCGTCACTAGGTTACACCTTCAGCCTCGGTTCTGGCTCTGTTTTGTGGCGGGCTACCCGCTCGTCTTCTGTTCTCGGCTCCAGCTGTGAGGCTGAGATCTACGCCGGGGCCATGGCTGCACAGGAGCTTCGCTGGCTCACCTACTTGCTGACTGACCTTGGAGAGCCGCCTCGTTCTCCTCCAGTGCTGTACGTAGACAATAAGGCCATGGTGGCCTTGTGTCGAGAGCAGAGACTGGAGCACAGAACGAAGCACATTGCTCTTCACTACTTCCTTGCTCGTGAGCTGCAGCAGCGTGGTCAGCTGCGTCTTCCGTACGTGGCCTCTGAGGCCAATACTGCTGATAGCTTCACTAAGGCGCTTGCGCCTTGTGATCATCAGCGCTTCTGTACTCAGCTGGGTCTTGTACCTGCCTTGCCCAAGTTGGATACTGAACTGAAGTCGACCTGCGTTCGGATTTTTACGTTCACTATCCAAACGTGTGTACGCACGAAAATTCACGAGGCTAGCGACCATTCACGGAGCCGGATTCGGTCACGAACTGCACCGCCTAACCAGGCAACCTATGAAAGTTTAGCGCGACTCGGGATTTAGTTGAACTATGATGGTCGAACTGTGTTGTTCCATACGCGACTCGGACTTGTTTATGGTGCTCCTCGATCACCCGAAAGTAGAGATTGTCGACCTCAGGTAGACCAAAGTTCAAATGTAAATTCGAGAAAAAAACCTAACTTTCCAAATTTGCAAAAGACGCGCCCTAACGAGATGTCCGCAATTCGGCGCTGAAGCTCAACCACACAACAGGCTTCACATCAGAGTAGCAGCAATGGCCGCTCCTGGTAAGAGTCCCGAAGTTGATGCAACGAATACTCGCAATAGTGTCGACGACGGACGCAATGACCGCATGAGCAACATATCAGCCGAGATATACCAAAACAGCGGCGCCATACTAAATATGCCCTATACCGGCACCACTAGAAGCAGTTTCGGCTGCAGCGGCAGCCCATTCAGCATTTCCGATTCTCGTTCGTTGGACGAACTTCCCTCCGACGTACTCCTTATAGTCTTCTCCTTCTTTTCCCGCGAAACCCTCGCGGCCTCCGCCGCTGTTAGCCGGAAATGGCGCCACTTGGCGAGCTCTGATTCGCTGTGGGAGGACCTGCTGCGATCCGAAGATCCCGAGGGATGGCCGATGGTGGTCTTCGCTGAAACTCAGCTGAGGCTCGGGCGAGGGAGCAGGTGAGGCTCGGGCGAGGGAGCAGGTGAGGCTCGGGCGAGGGAGCAGGTGAGGCTCGGGCGAGGGAGCAGGTGAGGCTCGGGTGAGGGAGCAGGTGAGGAGACATTGAGAATTCCAGAAAAACGTCGAATTTGAGTTGTCCTACTATCTGTTGTGCATGGCGAAGTGGGTGTGGCGAAACAGGAGCGGAGTGAAATGACAGCTGCCAGAAGCACCAACCCCACTGGGCACCCCCGTGCACGTGGCAGACCATATGGCAGTGAACCGGAGGCCAGACCCTCGGGAATGACGAGGTGCCGCGAGCAGCAGCAGATGCTGCTGGGGCAGTGCGGCGGTAGCAGGATCGCGTGCCTGCCGTGGTGTGCCATCTACCGCCTGCGCGCCCAGCTGCCGCCCGCTGTCGTTGTCGATGGTGCGCTGCCCACGCTGCATTCCCCGTGCTCTCATTCCACGCCGCATTCCCCGTGCTCTCATTCCACGCCGCATTCCCCGTGCTCTCATTCCACGCTGCATTCCCCGTGCTCTCATTCCATGCCGCATTCCCCGTGCTCTCATTCCACGCCGCATTCCCCGTGCTCTCATTCCACGCCGCATTCCCCGTGCTCTCATTCCACGCCGCATTCCCCGTGCTCTCATTCCACGCCGCATTCCCCGTGCTCTCATTCCACGCCGCATTCCCCGTGCTCTCATTCCACGCTGCATTCCCCGTGCTCTCATTCCATGCCGCATTCCCCGTGCTCTCATTCCACGCCGCATTCCCCGTGCTCTCATTCCACGCCGCATTCCCCGTGCTCTCATTCCACGCCGCATTCCTCGTGCTCTCATTCTACACCGCATTCCCCGTGCTCTCATTCCACGCCGCATTCCCCGTGCTCTCATTCCACGCCGCATTCCCCGTGCTCTCATTCCACGCCGCATTCCCCGTGCTCTCATTCCACTCCGCATTCCCCGTGCTCTCATTCCACGCCGCATTCCCCGTGCTCTCATTCCACTCCGCATTCCCCGTGCTCTCATTCCACGCCGCATTCCCCGTGCTCTCATTCCACGCCGCATTCCCAGCCTCTCCCCGCCTCTTTACTCTTATCCACGCCTCTGGACACCTCTCCTCGCCGCGCCATGCCTCTTTCCACGCCTCTCCACGCCCCTATACAACCTTTAATTGAGTGTGTGTGGGAGTGCAGGCGGGTCGGGGTACTGCAAGTTTGGCATGAGCAACGACGCAGCGCCATCAGGACGCATCGCCACCTTTCTGGTCAGTCCGTTTTGATAATTGTCTGAAGCACGTCTGGTTTGCCACATGGGAGCTCCCTTCCGTTCTGCTTCGTACCATTCGCTCTTCTTTTATTTCCTGCCATTAAGTACGTTTTCTCACATTTGTCGCTCTCCCACCCACCATGCTGTGGTTGCTGGGAGAGCGGCACGCTGTGGTTGCTGCCACCCAAACCAGGAGTTTGGAAACATCGAGGCACCTTCCCTCGCCCGCCTTCGAGCCCTCTTCTCCTCCATCTATGCCAGGTACTTAATGACTTCAGCATACCTTTCAAGTGGTGCAGACATGCATGCAAAGGATGCAGGCACATGCTGTGCCTTGTGCCTTACCTTCAGTACTCCTTGTAACATTCCCAATGTTATCCCTTTTTCCTTCCATTTTATTCCCTTAATATCAATCCCTCCTATGCCCTTCCCTCCATTTCCCTGTCTTCCCTCGCTGTCTTCTTCCCTTCACCCGTCCCGTTCTTTGTTCTTCTGCATTCTTGCTTCCCTCCATTTCCCTCTCTGTCGCCCATGCTTCTTCCCCATCTATCTCCATCCGCCCTCACAGCATGCGAGCCATTCCCGCCAACCACCCAGTTGTCGTCTCCGAGCCTCTCGCTTTCCTGCCAGGTGACTCTCTCGTGCCACCTGCCAGGTGACTCTGTCGTGCCACCTGCCAGGTGACTCTCTCGTGCCACGTGCCAGCCGTTACGTGTTGTTTCCTTCCAAGTGCTTCTCTGCTGGCATGCGTCCACCTACAGGGCAGCAGTGTTGCTAATCTGCAATTCATCATGCCTGCCTGCATTCTCAACGTGACATCCTGCCCTCACCCTGCCCGCCCTCCCATCCTCCCCATGCCCATCTCTCCTCTGCACACACAGAAACGCGTGAGGCGCAGGAGGGGAGGCGGCATCTGAGGGAGGTGACATGTGCCGTGCTCTTCAGTGCCCTGCGCGTGCCCTCCATCTGCCTTGTCGACCAGGTAACCCCATGCAACCAGGTAACCCCATGCGACCAGGTAACCCCATGCGACCAGGTAACCCCATGCAACCAGGTAATCCCATGCGACCAGGTAACCCCATGCGACCAGGTAACCCCATGCGACCAGGTAACCTCATGCGACCAGGTAACCCCATGCAACCAGGTAACCCCATGCGACCAGGTAACCCCATGCGACCAGGTAACCCCATGCGACCAGGTAACCCCATGCGACCAGGTAACCCCATGCGACCAGGTAACCCCATGCAACCAGGTAACCCCATGCGACCAGGTAACCCCATGCGACCAGGTAACCCCATGCAACCAGGTAACCCCATGCGACCAGGTAACCCCATGCAACCAGGTAACCCCATTCCACCAGGTAACCCCATTCCACCAGGTAACCCCATTCCACCAGGTAACCCCACACTCTGATACCAAATATGTCTACTTCAACTAGTTACTTCTTTATACGTCCACTCTGTCGCCATCCCCACTCCCCCTCGCCCATCCCTTCTCCCTTCACCGTCTCATCTGTCATCCATGCCCCTCTCTCCTCCCTTTCCCTGCCGTTGCCACCCACCCAGGCCACCCTGGCCCTGTTGGCAGCGGGGGCAGCATCAGGCGTGGTGGTGAACATTGGCTTCCGCAGCACCACAATACTTCCCATCATGCGAGGCCGCACCGCATGCAGCCTGCTGCCCTTCTACTGCCTGCCGCTGGGCGCCATGCGAGTCACGGGGCACCTCAGCCAGTTACTGCACGATTCTGGGATCGTGTGCCAGTCCATGTTCACTGTGCGCACCGTCAAAGAGGTCAGTTCTATCGTATCATTTATTGGCTTAGTTGCGTTACTGAAGGCGCCTGCCTAGGTGTGTTACTGAAGGCGCCTGCCTAGGTGTGTTACTGAAGGCGCCTGCCTAGGTGTGTTACTGAAGGCGCCTGCCTAGGTGTGTTACTGAAGGCGCCTGCCTAGGTGTGTTACAAGCTCCTCTTCTTATTATTCCTCGCATCCCTGCCCTCAGTTTCTCATGGCTCACAGGCTCTCGCAATAACTTTCAGCACCCCACTGCATCATGCTTGTCACCCCAACCCCCTCCCTCCCCTCCCGCAGTCGCTGTGCTTTGTGGCGAGCGACTTCCAGGCTCTTGCTGTAACTTTCTGCACATCTTCATTCGGCATCCCACTCCTTCCTGCTTTTCACCCCAACCACCCCCACCCCCCCCTCCCTCCTCCCACAGTCGCTGTGCTTTGTGGCGCGGGACTTTGAGGCAGCGAGGAGGGGCGAGGAGAGGGGGGTGCGGGGCACGTGTGAGGTGCCGGGGGAGGGTGCCTTCACTCTCACCAGGGAGCGCTTCCTCGCCCCTGAAGTGCTCTTTCAACCTCACCTCTGTGGCCTGTGCGTTTACTTTCCTCAATGTGGTCAATGGGGTCAATGTGCTCTATCAGCTGTTTTATCTTGTGCTCACATGGTTGTTCTTCTCTCCTTACTGCTGCGTGCATGTGACAACCGCATTGTCGCTCGTAGTCTTCCCCGTTGATCTCCCCTCACTCGTTTCGTCTCCCCCCCCCACTCACACGTGCTTTTCTCCCTCTCACCCCACGCCCTCACCCCCTCCTCCTCCTCCTCCCTTCCCCCATCAGCGGCGGCAGGGGCATACAGCAGGCAGTGGCGCAATGCATAGTGGAGTGTGCTGCCCGGGTGAAGGCGTTTCAGGCGCAGCAGGACTGGAAGGCCCGACACAGCCACGCGGGAGAGGCACCGGCTGCAGATGAGGAGAAGGAGGAGAAAGGGGGGGAGGAGGGTGAGCGAGTGCCTGGGGCGGGGCCAGGGGGTGAAGGTACCACGAGGCGGGTGGGAAGTGGGGAGGGGGAGTCAGGGACGGGTGGGGGGGTGTGGGGGCGAGTGCCTGCGCCACTGTCAAGTGAGGATGTGGCGGAGGCGATCGGCACCGTGGTGGTGGCGGGGGGCACGTCTGCGCTGCCAGGGATAGCAGGTGGGGCCCTTTGTTCCTTCGTACAGCCTCCGAGTGGGAATGACGAGAGATTATACGATGATGTTTCTCTGTGAAAAGCCTTCCTGTATCTGTTCCGCTAACCTGATTTTCCGCTGCTGTCCTCTTCTGTGCCTCTGCTGCTCTTGTTGATTCACATCCGTTGGTCCCATCCCATCCGCACAGAGCGGCTTCATCTAGAGCTGCAGCGCCTGCTTCCCCCGCCCCTCGCTGACAGACTCACTGTGAAGGCAGTGGGGCCTTATGGTGCATGGATGGGCGGCAGGACCGTTGCCACTGTGAGTGTTATTGGCTGTGACTGATCACTTCGTTATGACCGTATGTGTGACTTACGGTATATAAATGATCCTTCTAATATATGTTTCTTCTTCCCGTGCTTTTTGGAATGCAGACGAGCTCGTTTTTATCAGCATGGGCGCTAAGCAGGGAGGAGTATATGGAGAAAGGACCGTCTTCTGTTCATGCCCTTGCCATGGATACGCACAACATGAACAGCCAGGCTCTTCCTGTTGTAAGAATATTCCCCAAGCCTTGATGGAGAGTGTAACATATGATGAAGTGTGATATTGCCACAACGTTTTCATGAAAGGCTGTAGCCACTAGATGTGTGCTGGTTGTCTTCAAAATAATTTAGTGGGAACGGTTTTTTTGCATGTAGCCACCAGTTGTCGAGGTGTAGCAAGTTTATGACTATCAAGGCAGATTTGTAGAGATGGCCGACTGTGCTGATTCGCGTCGCGCTGACATGAAGCTACTCCAATCGGTACTAAAACATATGTTCTAGACTCTATCTCGCAGCTTTTAGAATGCACCGCTCAGTCTCCCATCCTTGCAGTCGTTATCGAGCCATGTTTCTCAAATGATGTCCATCATTCACTGCTGAAGCTCGTCGTCGCTCACATCAGAGTAGCAGCAATGGCCGCTGCTGGCGAGAATCTTGATACTGACGCTATGAATGCTCGCAGAAGCGATGACCTCACGAGCACGATATCAACCCACATCTACCAAAACAGCAGCGTCATTCCAAGTATGCCTCTTACCAGCAACAACCCAGTCAATGGTTCCGATTCTCGTTCGCTAGACCAACTTCCATCCGATGTACTCTCTATAGTCTTCTCCTTCCTTTCCGGAAAATCCCTCGCCACCGCCGCTGCTGTTAGCTGGAAATGGCGCCACTTTGCGAGCTCTGATTCGCTGTGGGAGATCCTGCTGCGATCCGAAGATCCCGAGAGATGGCCGATGGTGGTCTTCGCTGAAACTCAGCTGAGGCTGGGGCGAGGGAGTAGGTGAGGCTGGCGTGAGAGAACAAGCGATGTGACATTGAGAATTCGCCGTCGAGTGTGAGATGCTATACCACATGTGAGATGCTGTACTATGTGTCTTGAAATCCTTACTTGAGTGGCGAAGCGGGTGAGGCGAAACAGGAGCGGTGTGCAGTGTCAGCCCAGGGAGCACGAATGCCAGACGCACCAACCCCATGGGACGGAACGCACCTGCTCTTCTGCCCCTAGTGCCATTGCCTGTCCCGTCCCCACACTCCCCCGTGCACCCAGCAGGCCAAATGACGGCGAATCTTAGGCCGGCCTGCCGTGGTGTGCCATCTACCGCCTGCACGCCCAGCTGCCACCCGCTGTCGTTGTCGATGGTGCGCTGCCCACGCCGCATCTTCCCTGCTCTAATTCCACGCCACATTCCCAGCCTCTCCATGCCTCTCCACACTTCTCCACCCCTTTTCACGCCTCTCTATGAACTCTGGTACCCAGGCATCAAATATATGTGTGTGTGTGTGGGGCAGGGCTCTTGCTAACTTTTAGGCCCGTCTGACGTTTTCCAAAAAAAAAAAAAATCGTCTGGCCCTCATATGGAGGATTCCAAGTGGTCTTTGCCTCAGACGGATTTTCTAAGTTAGTATGTCCGCTCAGACAGATTTTTACGAAATCAGACATTTATTTAACTATGTAATCTACTATACACACCGACTATACTCTATTAGTACAGATAACCATACAAAGAAAACGAACTAGGATTCACTATCGCTATCATGAGAATAATCTTCCTCATCGTCCCCGACTAGCTCTGAATCTGAAGCCATGTGCACTTTGCCGTGGCCTGCCCGTCTCTGCCAGGGGCCCAACTCCTCCTCTAGTCTGGCTGCTTCTTTTGCAGCTGCTGCTTCACGACCAGCAGCATCTGCTGTTGCTGCTGCTGTTGCTGCCGCCTGCTTCGCGGCCAGCATCGCAAGGGTCTTCTTCGTGCGCTTCACGGGCCTCTGCGCATGCACCATCACCACATCCTTGGCTGGACGCCTCCTCTTCGCGCCTCTCCACAGCTCCACAAGGGCGGGCCAGTCAGGTTCGTACTTCAGCATGGAGACGGTCATCAGGTTGCCCAGCTTCGCGTCGTTAAGATTGCCGCGTAGCCAGCTCTTGATGATGTTCAGGAGGGAGAAGCCCCGCTCGCACTCCACGGTGCTCAACAGCAGCACTGCAACTACCATCCAAAGGCGGACCAGGTTGGGGTAGGCAGTGCACCAGTCGGGGGAGCTGAGCATCTGCTTCAGGCCGTCCTGGAAGCTCACCTCCTGTTGATGGGATGACATGATGGTGGTGAAACTGCTGAGCTTCTTCTGTGCCCTCGTCCAGTTGACTCCTGGTGGCAGGGTGCGAATCAGAAAGAAGTGTAGTGTTACACCGCACTGGTGTTCATAAGTCATCAGGCTCAAGGAAATCAACGAGGCATATGGCGAAACAAACAACATGTCCGACTCAATCAGGCACAACCTGTCAAACTCATATGCTATAGTTTGCGTAGGCTGTAGTGGGGTAGACAATATGGGGTACAACACTTTTAAGTTTTCCTACTTGTACCCACCTGCTTGCTAGTTCATTCATTCCTCATTTCTTCACATGGTAAAGAGCAAGTTCCCTAGTGGGAACGCTTCCTGGGGCCCACCACTGAAAATCGAAAATATGTTTTTTTCTGACCGGAGCGCGAGTCGCCCCTGCCCGACGCGCGCCTCGTGGGCCGCCCTCTCGTCGCGTCCCCTGCCCTTAGCGGCCTGTCGCGCCCTCCTAGAGGCCCCTCTCACGGCCCCTCGCGCCACCCCTAGCGGCCCCGTTGCCGCCCTTAGCGACCTCGTCGCCACCCCTAGCAGCCCCGTCGCCACCCTTCGCGGCCCCGTCGCCGCCCCTAGTGGCCTCGTCGCTGCCCTTCGCGACACCGTCGCCGCTCGTTACAGCCGCTCGTCACCGTATGTTAAACCGACCGTGTGTTCAACCCACCGTGTGTTCAACCCACCGTGTGTTAAACCCACCGTGTGTTCAACCCACCGTGTGTTCAACACACCGTGTGTTCAACCCACCGTGTGTTCAACCCACCGTCTGTTAAACCTACCGTGTGTTCAACCCAACGTGTGTTCAACCCACCGTATGTTCAACCCACCGTGTGTTCAACCTACCGTGTGTTCAACCCACCGTGTGTTCAACCCACCGTTTCTTCAACCCACCGTGTGTTAAACCTACCGTGTGTTCAACCCACTGTGTGTTCAACCCACCGTGTGTTCAACCCACCGTGTGTTCAACCCACCGTGTGTTCAACCCACCATATGTTAAACCCACCGTGTGTTCAACCCACCCTGTGTTCAACCCACCGTGTGTTCAACACACCGTGTGTTCAACACATCGTGTGTTCAACCCACAGTGTGTTCAACCCACCGTATGTTCAACCCACCGTGTGTTCAACCCACCGTATGTTAAACCTACCGTGTGTTCAACCCACCGTGTGTTCAACCCACTGTGTGTTGAACCCACCGTGTATTCAACCCACCGTGTGTTAAACCCACCGTGTGTTCAACCCACCGTGTGTTCAACACACCGTGTGTTCAACCCACCGTGTGTTCAACCCACCGTGTGTTAAACCTACCGTGTGTTCAACCCACCGTGTGTTCAACCCACCGTGTGTTCAACCCATTGTATGTTAAACCCTCCGTGTGTTAAACCCACCGTGTGTTAAACCCACCGTGTGTTAAACCTACCGTGTGTTCAACCCACCGTGTATTCAACCCACCGTGTGTTCAACCCACCGTGTGTTAAACCTATCTTGTGTTCAACCCACCGTGTGTTCAACCCACCGTGTGTTCAACCCACCGTGTGTTCAACCCACCGTGTGTTAAACCCACCGTTTGTTCAACCCACCGTGTGTTCAACACACCGTGTGTTCAACCCACCGTGTGTTAAACCCACTGTGTGTTCAACCCACCGTGTGTTCAACCCACCATGTGTTCAACCCACCGTGTGTTAAACCCACCGTGTGTTCAACCCATTGTATGTTAAACCCACCGTGTGTTAAACTCACCATGTATTAAACCCACAGTGTGTTAAACCCACTGTGTGTTAAACCCACCGTGTGTTAAACCTACCGTCTGTTCAACCCACCGTGTGTTAAACCCACAGTGTGTTAAACCCACCGTGTGTTAAACCTACCGTGTGTTCAACCCACCGTATGTTGAACCCACCGTATGTTCAACCCATAGTGTGTTAAACCTACCGTGTGTTCAACCCACCGTCTATTCAACCCACCGTGTGTTAAACCCACCGTGTGTTAAACCCACCGTGTGTTCAACCCAACGTTTGTTCAACCCACCGTGTGTTCAACCTACCGTGTGTTAAACCCACCGTGTGTTCAACCCACCGTGTGTTCAACCCACTGTGTGTTAAACCTACCGTGTGTTAAGCCCACCGGGTGTTCAACCCACCGTGTGTTCAACCCACCGTGTGTTAAACCCACCGTGTGTTCAACCCAACGTTTGTTCAACGCACCGTGTGTTAAACCTACCGGGTGTTCAACCCACTGTGTGTTCCACCAACCGTGTATTCAACCCACCATGTGTTCAACCTATCGTGTGTTCAACCCACCGTGTGTTCAAACCAACGTGTGTTAAACCCACTGTGTGTTCAACCAACCGTGTGTTCAACCCACTGTGTGTTCAACCCACCGTGTGCTCAACCCACCGTGTGTTCAACCTACCATGTGTTGTTCAACACACCGTGTGTTCAACCCATCTTGTGTTCAACCCACTGTGTGTTCAACCCACCGTGGGTTCAACCCACTATGGGTTCAATCCACCGTGTGTTTAACCCACCGTGTGTTCAACCTACCGTGTGTTCAACCTACCGTATGTTCAACCCACCGTGTGTTCAACCCACCGTGTGTTAAACCCACCGTGTGTTCAACCCACCGTGTGTTTAACCCACCGTGTGTTGAACCCACCGTGTGTTCAACCCACCGTATGTTCAACCCACCA